CTACTGCGACCATCCACCACACTGGATGGCATGTTACCATTACTGACAGCCCACGTTCTCTAGGCACTGTTCACCTTGCTGTCTCAGGTCTTCTTTCAGACACAGCTCGACCATTTCTTCTACGCTCTCACGTAGACACTGTGTGGCACCAGGAATTCTGACCTTCCTCCTCTGCCACAACAGTCCAAACTGGAAGAGGGGCAACTATCAGAACTGGAAGAGCAACAGCCTGATGTTTCCTCCATGGGCCAGTTCTCTTTGTCCCTGGACGAAACAGTCTATTGTTGCTGCAGGGCTCAGCCTTGGGACGGACAGTGCTCTTGACTCACCTAGAGTGGAGCACCCATGGGGACATCACTTGAAGAAAAAAAGAGAGTTACTCGCCCTGTACAGTAACAGGAGTTTTTCAAGATGTGTGTCCCTGTGGATGCTCCACTACCCTCCCTCCTCCCCTACTTTGGAGTTTCTTTGGGGTTATATCTAAGGTAGGGTACGTCTACACTAGCCCCCTAGTTTGATCTAGGGAGGCTAATGAGGGTGACTGAAATTGCAAATGAAGCGCGGGATTTAAATATCCCGAGCTTCGTTAGCATGTTCCCGGCCGGTCGCCATTTTAGAAATTGACTAGCCCGAAGTAACTGCCCACGTCTACACGTGGCAGTAAAACGGGATTCTGAATTAAAGCCCTAAATCGAATTAGCTGGTAAACTTCATTGCAGGAGGAATAACAGCTAATTCGAGTCAGGGTTTTAATTCAGAATCCTGTTTCACTGCCACGTGTAGATGTGGGCAGTTACTTCGGGCTAGTCAATTTCTAAAATGGCGACCGGCCGGGAACATGCTAACGAAGCTCGGGATATTTAAATCCCGCGCTTCATTTGCAATTTCAGTCACCCTCATTAGCCTCCCTAGATCAAACTAGGGGGCTAGTGTAGACGTACCCTACCTTAGATATAACCCCAAAGAAACTCCAAAGTAGGGGAGGAGGGAGGGTAGTGGAGCATCCACAGGGACACACATCTTGAAAAACTCCTGTTACTGTACAGGGCGAGTAACTCTCTTTCTAGTGTAGGCATACCCGTAGAGAAGGAATGGAGATGCTATGCTATGCATGCAACTAATGGATGCCAACAGCACAAGGAGACATCAGTGTGCATGTGCAGCATGGCAGGGCACTGCTAGAAAAAATCTCCGGTTGCCAGAGTGAGGACGCACCAGCACCTAGCGTGGAGCACCTCCGGGGACGTGCATCTCGAATAACTCCCATTACTGCACAAAGTGAGTAACTCTCTTTTATGGTCCATTAGCTGTACTGTAGTTACATAGTTACTCCCTCACATAATCCGTGCAATGCACTGATACTGATAGGAAGTTTATGCAAACATCAACTCCTTGAGCCCCTAGTACAATGCTGTGACTGAAAAAAACCTAATGTGGTCCTTGGATGCATAAATAGGGGAATCTTGAGTAATAATAGGGGATTATATTACCGCTATACTTGTCCCCCCCAGTGCCACAATGGCTGAAAAGTCCAAGTCTTTTAAATCTCTTCTCATATGGGACCCGTTCCAAACCCCAATCACTTTTGTTGCTGCTTTTCTGAACCTTTTCCAGTGCCAGTATCTCTTTTTTGAGGTGAGGCAACCACATCTGTACTCAGTATTCAAGATGTGGGCGTCCCATGGTTTTATATAGAGTCAATAAGATATTTTCTGTCTTATTGTCTATCCCTTTTTTTAATTACTCCTAACATTCTATTTGCTTTTTTCACTACTGCTGCACACAGTGGATGTTTTCAGAGAACTGTCCACAATGACTCCAAGATCTCTCTCTTGAGTAGCTATAGCTAAATTAGTCACCATCATTTTGTATGTATAGTTGGGATTATTTTTTCCAATGTGCATTACTTTACATTTATCCACATTAAATTTCAATTGCCACTTTCTTGCCCAGTCACTTAGCTTGGTGAGATCTTTTTGAAGCTCTTCACAGACTGCTTTGGTCTTAGCTATCTTGAGCAGTTTCGTTTCATCGTCAAATTTTGCTACCTCACTGTTTACCCCTTTCTCTACATCATTTATAAATAAGTTGAACAGGATTGATCCCAGGACACATCCTTGAGGGACTCCACTAGTTACCTCTCTCTGCTCTGAAAACTGACCATTAATTCCTACCCTTTGTTTCCTGTCTTTTAACCAGTTATTGGTCCATGAAAGGACCTTCCCTCTTATCCCATGATAACTTACTTTACTTAAGAGCCTTTGGTGAGGTACCTTATCAAAGGCTTTTTGGAAATCTAAGTATAGTACATCCACTGGATTCCTTTTGTCCACATGCATGTCCTCCAAGAACTCTAGCAGATGAGTATGGCATGATTTCTCTTTACAGAAACCATGTTGACTTATCCCCAACAAATTATGTTCATCTATGTGTCTGACCATTTTATTCTTTATTATAGTTTCATCTAATTTGCCCAGTACCGACATTAGACTTACCAGCCTGTAATTGCCAGGATCACCTCTAGAGCCCTTTTTAAATATTAGTTATCTTCCAGTCATTAGGTATGGAAGTCAATTTAAAGGATAGGTTACAAACCATAGGGTATGTCTACACTTGCACCCTCTTTCGAGAGAGGGATGCAAATGAAGACATTCGAAATTGCAAATGAAGCTGGGATTTAAATATCCGACGCTTCATTTGCATATTTGCGTTATGGTGCTATTTCAAAATAGCACTATTTCGGAATAACAGACGCTGTTAAGACGCGGTTATTTCAAGAGAAAACCCTTCTCTCGAAATAAACTTTATTCCTCATACAATGAGGTTTACCAGTTATTTCGAGAGAAGGGTTTTCACAGCGTCTTAACAGCGTCTGTTATTTCAAAATAGCACCATAACACAAATATGCAAATGAAGCGTGGGATATTTAAATTCCAGCTGCATTTGCAATTTCGAATGTCTTCATTTGCATCCTTCTCCCAAAAGAAGGTGCAAGTGTAGACATACCCATAGTTACTACTTCTACAATTTCCCATTTGAGTTCTTTCAGAACTTTTGGGTGAATGCCAACCGGTCCTGGTGACTTGTTACTGTTAAATTTATCAGTTTGTTCCAAAACCTCTTCTAATGACACCTCACTTTGGGACAAATCCTCAGATTTGTCACTAAAAAGAATGGCCCAGGTTTGGAAATCTCCCCAGTATCCTCAGCTGTGAAGACCGAAGTAAAGATTTCATTTAGTTTCTCTGCCATGACCTTATCGCCTCTGAGTGCTCCTTTAGCATCTTGATCGTGCAAGGGTTGTTTAGCTGGCTTCTTGCTTTCTGATGTACTTAAAAAACATTTTGCTATTACTTTTTGAGTTTTTGGCTAGCTGTTCTTCAAACTCCTTTTTGGCTTTTCTTATTATATTTTTACACTTAATTTGACAAAGTTTATGCTCCTTTCTAATTTCCTCATTAGGATTTGACTCCCACTTTTTAAAAGATGTCTTGTTATCTCTCACTGCTTCTTTTACTTGGTGGGTAAGCCACGGTAGCACTTGTTTAGTTCTCTAACTATGTGTTTTCATTTGGGGTATATATTTAAGTTGGGCCTCTGTTATGGTGTCTTTGAAAAGTTTCCATGTAGCTTTTAGAGATTTTACTTTTGTCACTATACCTCTTAATTTCTGTTTAACTAACTTCCTCATTTTTGTGTAGTTCCCCTTTCTGAAATTAAGTGCTACAGTGTTGGGCTGCTGAGGGGTTTTTCCCACCACAGGGAGGTTAACTTTTATTACATTGTGGTCACTATTTCCAAGTGCTCCAGTTATAATTACGTCTTGAACCAGATCCTGCTCTCCATTTAAGACTCCCCTATCCTAGGAGACTGTCTTGGTTACGACAATCTTTCATCTCAGTGAGCTGCCAGAGAGCAACTCATGCGGCGCACTTACCCATGACTTATCTCAAAACCAACCCAGGAGATTCAGAGTAAAGGTTACAGTTAGGCCTGGACTATACTTAAAATTTAGATCAAAATAGATGCATCGCTCTGCTCTCCATTTAAGACTCCCCTATCCTAGGAGACTGTCTTGGTTACGACAATCTTTCATCTCAGTGAGCTGCCAGAGAGCAACTCATGCGGCGCACTTACCCATGACTTATCTCAAAACCAACCCAGGAGATTCAGAGTAAAGGTTACAGTTAGGCCTGGACTATACTTAAAATTTAGATCAAAATAGATGCATCGCTCAAGTTGTTCTGACCTACTGCCCAATATAGATGCAACTAGGTAGTTGGAAGAATGCTTTAACTGATGTTGCTACCATCACTTGCTGAGGTGGGAAGAAGGGAAAAGTTCCTTCTGTTGGTGTAGACTGCATTATGCCAGTACAGCTACAGTGCCACAGCTTGACTACTATAGTCCCCGTAGTGTAAAATCAAAAAAGAAAGCGATGTACAATTGGGGCATTCAAACAACCTTCACTCTTCCTTGCAGTGATTCCAAGAGAGGACCCATGTATGAAATAAGTCTTTCAGAAATCAGTTTAATCTAACCCTACCTAAAGGAACGAAAGCATAGCTTCCCCAGGGAATACAGGCTTCAGAAATGACTCAATAAAAATTCCCCTCTGCTGAATTTCCAGCTTTTAGGTGTGTGTGTCAAGTATCCACCTAAGCCACAGGGCCATGTGGTGGGAAACCTGGATTCTTCTGCAAGGAAGTAAAGTACTTGCAGCAACCCACTGGCAGAGGAGGGGAGCGATGTCTCCTCTTGGCCTCACACTGTCACTAACTCACAGTCAGGTCTTAGGTGACCCCTCTCACCTTGCTTGGGAAAGCGGGACCAATCCTGATCTGCCTCCGAGGGGATTGGAGGGCGAGTTAATTTGTGTGTGGGATGTACTTTGAGAAGTCGGGATGGAAACGATACCGAGTGCATAGAAATAACAGATGTTAAAGACCTTGGTTTCCTTTTTAGAATGGTCTTTCCTTTCTTCTCTTCTCCCCACAAAGGACACACTGGACGCATATCCCTGTGGCTCAGACCACACCCCCAGTCCCATGGCCAGTCGGGTGCCTCTTGAAACAGCCCCCATCCTGGAGAAGAGGGAGGCCCGTCTGACTGCTGTGGCTGTGAATGTGGAAGATGGCCACACCATTGCTTTTCTGGGGGACAGCAGAGGCCAACTGCACAAGGTAGGAGTTGGTTTGAACAAGCAGCATAAGAAAAAGGCAATACTGGTGAGGAGTGGGGTAGGTTGATGTGCTCCTATTGTATGCTGGAGTCCTAAAAACAGATGTTGCAGAAGTCTAGAAGTGGTAGAAACTCTCTCGAAATGGGGAAGGAGCCGAGTTACATACTGGGAGAGGGGAGGAATGTCATAGGAGGGCACACAGGAGAGCAGAGGGAGCTAGCAGTGGTTGAAAGAGGTAGGAGGATGATAGTGAGAGCTGGGGGAGACTCAAAAGGAAGCCGGAATAACTCCCTGTAGACTGCCTTTCCCTTACGTTTGCCTAGCTTGGGATTTTGCTGCCGGAGCTGTTTCTCTACTTAGCTCCTAACATCACCTAGGTCCAGTTCCACCCTGGACTCCCAGTAGACCTGGTCTCTGAGCACTCTTGCCCCATCTAGCTATAGTCTCCTGGGCTCCCTCTGTGCTGACCTACGGGAGTGCCTCCTGCTGGGCCCGGCCTCTTCAGGCTTGGAGGAATCGAGGGAGGGGTGCGGAGGGAAGCCCCTGACCTAGGACAAGAGCCCTCCACCAGCACTGGCACTGGAGCCCCACTCAGCTGGTTTGTCCCTGGATTTGGAAAAGACTGCCAGGAATTGTCATTTCAGAGGTAGAGCTGTGCAGCCACTCCTGGCCATTATCTTGACAAGCCCACGTGAGGGCACTGACTTGTCCTGCCTCCCTGGGATTTGTCTCTCACCTGCCACTCTCTGTCCTGCCCATTCATTGCTCCAGAGGGGTCTCTGTAGGGCAGCAGCACCGCCTGGCGGCTCGTTCTCAGACTCTGCATGCTCTCAATTCAGAATAGGTAAGGCTACAAATTAGAGACGGGTGTGTTGAGTAAAATCAATAGTCGGGTCACGCATCATGGACAGAAATTCATGGGTCATGACTTGTACTATTAACACCCCTCACTACATCTTAGCTTGGGGGGAGCTGATGCTTGGGGAGGAGGAGTGGTGGAGGAGGCTGCTGCTAGAGGGCTTCCAGTGGGCTGATGCTGTGAGGGAAGGTGCTGGAGCTGCTGAGCAGTGGCTGCTTCAGCCACCCCCCAGGGCCACCAACCCACTGATGCTCTGGTCACCTCCAGGACTAGCCACACCAGCATCTATTCGGGCAGTGCTCAGGGCCAGCTGCCTGGGGCCGCCTGAGCAGCAGCTGGCCATAGGCTATTCTAGCAGTGGCCAGCATGGCTGTTACTGGCGTCAGCCACAGTGGCCACTGAACAAGTCTCAGAGGTCACAGAGTCTGTAATTCCTGCAACCTCCAAGACTGATTTATAGTCCTAAAAATAAGCAAAACCGTGTATGCAGCTCTGTGTTTGGTTATAACCATCTCTTCGCCAGTGCTAGTGCTCATAGATAAGTCTTATCAGCTGCACTCTATTCTTGTTTGAAATCTCTTATTTTGGCATCCATCTCTATGCTTGCAAGTGAGTGTTTGAGTCTGCCATATAAATAGCCAGATTTGTAACACAAAGAAAAAGCCTTCTACCCTGGGCCTTTGGACTGAATCTAAATACAATTACCCTTCCAAATAGGAATGTTAGTGTAGAGCCATTTAAATGATGAACCGGTAAGACTAGGTGTATTGGTTAATTCAAGTGACTACAGGCAAACTCCTTTCCCACTGCCTCTGTGTCAGTGTCCCAGTGGTGGGGAGGTGGGAGCTAGTACCTTTGGGAAGCCACCTGCCTCCGCACTGCCTCCCACAGAGGGGAGGAGGGAGCCAGTCCTCGGAGGGAGCCGTCTTAAAAGATGGCTCCCCCACCACCATCCGAACTCTGGACCTTGCAGAGCTGCCTGCCCCCAACCCCTGTGCTGCTGCCTCTGACAGAGAGGTAGTAGCATAGAGGGTGAGTGGGGCAGGTGTGAGCTGGTGCACGTGGGAAGCAGGCTTTCCAGCTGGCTCCCTGCGTGTATAAGCTCCCATGGAACTGCCTGCCTCCCTGCACTGCTGCCTTTCTGTTACAGGCAGCAGTGGGCGGGGACAGGTGGGAGCCTGTAAGTGCAGGGAGATGGCTTTTAAGAGTCACCTGCCTCCCCTTACTGCCTCCCACAAAGGCAGAGGGAGGGGCAGGCAGGAGCAGGTGCTGTGGTGGGAGGGGAGCTGGCTAACACCTGCCGACCCGCCCACCATGCTGTTGCTTCTGTATCAGAGACAACGGTGCCAGGTGGGAAGGAGGGATGCTGGGGCAGCCTCTGTCCACAGAGGGCTGTTGCTGCCTGTGTATTAGAGGCAGCAGTGTGAAGTGGCAGGCGGGAGCTGGTCTGTGCAGGGAGTCCATTGTTAAACCTGCTCCCCTCATGGATTGGCTCCTCTTGCCACCGTGTGCTGCTGCCTCTGATACACAGGGGCTCCTCAGAGTGGGGCTAAGAGTGCACTGGCTGCCAGCCCCCGCCCCCCATGTATTTTAATAGCCATGGAACTGCTAAAAATTGTAGCTACACAATTACTAAAAGACACGAACTCCAACATCCCTACTTTACAAAAACGAAACACTTCATTTCCCCCTCGTCGCAGAATAACCAGCCATAGGTATGAAAATAACCTTGCTTAATGCTGGGGTCGTGCTCCTGAAAAATGCTACTTGAAGTGAAGCGATGTTAAGTGAATCCAATTTCCTCATAAGAAGGAATGTAAACAGGGTGTTAGGCTCCAGGAAAATGGTTTTCAGTGCATACCTACACAGGGTCAGTATGGAACAATTTTCAGCAAACAGTTTCATACTGTAGGCAGCACTGATGATTGTGAAGCTTGGTGGAACATTTCCCAGGGAAGTTCTTGCTACTAGCACTCAGCTGAGCCCTCAGGGGCTGTTAATGGAGCCTCCCACTCTAGGGGCAGCATGAACTGCTGGAGGAAACTCAATAGAGGCAGGGCAGAGCCTGCAAACACTTCCCTGCAGAAACTGAACCCACGCTACTCTGCTGGAGTGCACCACTCTCTTCTCCAGACAGCATGTGCACAGCTGCACAGTGCCAAGGAGTGTGTGTGTGAGAGAGAGGGGCAGGCTGAACCCACCTCAAGTACGCTACCCTTTTGAGAACAGAACTGTAGATCATGAAGTTCAGATGCAGGAATCTGTACCTGTGGTATCCTGCCTTGTGGAGGTGGGGTACTGAGTGGGAGGGGTCAGTTAATGGGAGGTGAGACATCCTGACATGAGCACCCCTCTGCTAGCACAGCAAGTAGGAGGCTCTGTGGAGCAGCTCCAAGGCAGAGGACGGAGCAGCATGGTAGTGAGGGGAGGGGCAGCTGCCCAGCCACATACCTTCAAGAGAATTTAGGGGAGCTGATGGGAGGGCCACTGATCCACCCTGCTTCCAAACCCCCACAAGGACAGGCTGTTTTTCCAGAAAATCCTGCTAGTGGTGGACCAAAGCAAGCAGCCAAACCGTGTTGTGAGGGAGCGTTACACAACTGAATGAGCATGTGCTCTAATAGATAAGCAACGTAACATTAACTGGGAAAACGGTAAGTGAGGAGTTAGTGTACCCCAACCCACCCACAAACACCTGTGATCTTTCTTAGGTATATGGCACCTGTTACAGGAGTATCTGAGCAACGGGGAGCTTTTCATAGCCCTTATCCTCACAGTGCTCCAGGGAGATAGTATGATCCTTTCACTCCTTTTACAGATGGGAAACTGAGGCACAGAGCAACTAAGGCTGAGACCCACAAATGACCTACTTCCGAACAATAGATGTTAGAAGCCTGACTTCCTTTGGGAATCTGGGCCCAAATGACATACCCAGGGTCATGCAGGAGTTTGTTCAAGAGTGGGGAATTGATTCTGGCTCTCCTAAGTTCCAGGCTAGTGGGCTGGCTACTGTGCCCTCCTTCATCCCCTATGTGTCTTGTCACAATTGCCCTTGAGTGCATACATGGGCCTGGTAACAGAAAGGGAGGGGTGGGCTGCTCATGTCCAGCTATGGCATGAGAACGGTGGCTGTACGCATCCAGAGCCCCCCCTTAGTTTATCAGTGTGCTGCACGAGGGCACAGCGATGTGCTTTCCCCTTTGCCCAAGCAGAGGATGCTAGTGTCTACTGCAAAGGTGCAGAATTTCATAACTGAAATAGATGGTCCCAATCTCACAGTCCCACGTCGCAAAGAGGAGTCGTTCCCACCAGTGCTGTGGAACGGGAGCCCTATGGCAGCACAGGGCCAGCTGCACCCCCTGAATGCAAATTTGATGGAAAAACAGCCTCAGCTAATACTGCAAATCTTTTCCTCACCATGTCTCCAAATGTTGCCCTGCCTTGTCTCCCCCCCTTGGTGCCACGAGGACCACGATCCCACCCTCTCACCACCAAGCCCACTCCAGATTTTAGCATTCCCAGTAGGTAGCGGTGGTGGATGTGACTGCAGCATGGTCCCTCATGATGGTCACTCCGTGGCTTGATGGCTAGGTCTTTCCACAGCAGGTTTATGATTTCCAGGTACCCATGGCTGACCACCTCCATCCACTCTTCTCTCATGGGACTATCCTAAAAAATCTTGGGGTTTAAGCTCTGCATCAGTCAACAGCTGGATGGGCAATTATTGCTTTGCTAATGCCATTCATTCACTGTCCTCCCATCCATCAGATTGCTTGTTCACTTATTAACTCGTCCATTCATTGTTTGCCTTCCCCTCTGCCTGTTCAGCTGTCTGTCCATCAGCCTCCAACCTGTTTACAAAAGGACACTTTCCCCTTTGCCTGCCCCCATACCTGTCTGCTCATCCACTGATTTGCCTCCTTTCCTCAGTATTGTTACACATGGACACACAGGCCCACCAACTGAGCCGTGCGAGTCCATTGTACTGGGCACCATACAGACACTCAGTAAAGAGACCGTTCCTGCTCCAAAGTGATTACAATCTAGGATATAACACAAAGATACAACAAACAGCAGCTGCCCGCACACCTGTCTGGACACTCACTTCCCTCTTCCCTTTGCCTGCTGCACACTACAATTCTGTCTCTTACAGGTGTACTTAGGAGCAATGGGAGATACTAAGACATATGCTTCTCTAGTCATCCACTTGAACAGCGTGGTGAGCGGAGACCTGCTATTTGACCAGTCACAGCAGCACCTGTACGTCATGACCCAGTCAATGGTGAGAGCAATGAAATCCCTACGACAAAGGAACGAATGCTTCTGGGGCCCTCAGTACTTTTGGTAGAGGAGAAGTGGTGTCTGTAGTCAGCCTTGTGCCGTGGCCTCATGCCATGGCTGTGAAATATGATGGGAACACTGCCATCCCAGAGATTCGTCTCTCAGCACTTGTGCATCCTTGTGCCGGAGTCATGTAGTAGTGTCAGCACTGATGAGTGAACATGAGGATGTCTCTTGATTGCCAACACATCTGTGAATTTGTATTTATGGTGCCACCACCAGCCATTGTCGGAGTCCACGGGCAGCGCTTCAGCCTACTGTGTCCCTCTCTCCAGGGAGAGGAAGAGACCACACCTGGTGGTGACCCCTCTCTCCTCCTTTGCACTTCCTTCCTGTGCTATTTAGCTGCCGTCTCAGCAAATGGGATAATTAGCCCCTTAATTTATCAACCTGCAATGTGATTAAATGTAATGTAATTAAATCTTCCACTCCTCAATCAGGGCTTCTCCATGGCAACCAGTTAGTGCTAAATAACCAGAATAGTGGTCAGCTGCTGGCTGTCAGCACTGTCACAAGGTCCATGAAGCTCTGGAGCCTTCTAATGATTGTGTGCATAGGTGCTGGAGCACCCACAGGGAAAGATTAGTGGGTAATGAGCACCCACCAGCACCAAGATCCTTCCTCCCTCCCACTCCTCTTGTGCGCTGGCAACCCTGCCAGACTACTCCTCTGCCACCCTCCCAGCGCTTCTGGAGCACTGCACACAGCTTATTCATGGCATTCAGGAAGCTCTGGGAGGGCAGGAGAGGTGAGGGCATGGGGTGCACTCGGGAGGAGGAGCGTGAGGACAAGAAGAGTGGGGCAAGAGCATGGATTTGGGGAAGGGCTGGAATAGGGTTGGAGATGGGTGCGGTTTGGGGGAAAGGGTGGAGTGAGAACAGGGTCTGGGGCAGAGCAGGAGACCTGAGGGGAAGTTGACGCCCATGATGTGTGTATTCGACCAATGGCCCTCAGCCTTTCCAGTTTACTACGTCCTTTTCAGGAGCAGGGTTTGTCTTAAAACCCCAAGTTCCACCTCACTTAAAAACTGCTTGCTTACAAAATCACGCTGAAAATATAAAAGTGTCACAGCACACTGTTACTGATGAGTTGCTGACTGTCTTATTTTTACTATATAATTGTCAACGAAATCAACCGGAATGTAAGTATAGTACTTGCATTGAAGTGGGTACATAGCAGTGTAAAGAAGTAATTACATGAATTGTAGTTTGTACTGATATTGCTAATGGTTTTTATGTAGCCTGTTGTAAAACTAGATAACTATCTAACCTCTGGAAGGCCTCTTTGTACACCTAGGAGTAATATGTACCCTTGGGTGAGATCCACTCTATTACATCCCACTAAGTGAGAGCAGGCCAATCTCCTGGTTCAAAACCCAGAGGACTTGTGAGGTGGACTAGAGAGAAGCAGGGAGCTGTATTTCACTGAAAATGTGGCGTGTGCCTTCAGTTTGCAATGGTGAACTAGAAGATGGGGCTCTTGTGCAATAGAAGGCTAATAACTAGTTTTGTTCATCAGGTCTCCTATCTGTGAGTTAGGGGAATAAAGAAGAGGAGTTGGGATCAAATGTTGGCACCTGAA